CTCTCAAATAATATCCTGTCTCTCCAGGGCCACTGGTAATCAGGAATTAAAGCTTGTTGTATTGGTTTGGTAATTTTGTTCATCTTACTATCATTGTTTTAATTGAGAAAAAAGCCAACAATGACTTAGTTCTTTTTTTTTTTTTTTTTTTTTACTTAGTCCTTTTCTTATACAAATGAAATATTTGCTTAGTAATCCTTTTTGATTCATATGCTGTTTTGTAATAACTATAGTGCTGCTTCTACTTAAGTAATTTTTGACATCTCTAATCAATCCCTGTTGACTTAAATACATTAGAAGTCCTCAAAATCCAAACATTAAATAATTTTTATTTAAAGAAGATAAACTGTATATAAGCAAGAAATACTTCTCAACAGGCTAATCTTTGATATCCACCCCTGGGGTGAACTGAATTATAGGGACTTGGTTTATCTGACATAAACCAGAACAAGTAAAACATTCATTTAAAATTAAACAGTGTTTTGGTTTTTTTTTAAGAGTATGTATGAAAAATGCATTATTAAAACTAAGAGGCAGGCCGGGCGCGGTGTCTCATGCCTGTAATCCCAGCACTTTGGAGGCTGAGGCGGGCAGATCACCTGAGGTCAGGAGTTCGAGACCAGCCTGATCAACATGGCTAAACCCTGTCTCTACTAAAAATACAAAAAATAGCCGAGCGTGTTGGTGCACACCTGAAATCCCAGCTACTTGGGAGGCTGAGACAGAAGAATCACTTGTATCTGGGAGACGGAGGTTGCAGTGAGCCGAGACTGTGCCATTGCGCTCCAGCCTGGGCAACAAGAGTGAAACTCCATCTCAAGAAAACAAAAACAAACAAAAAAATGAAGAGACAAAACTGAAATAGGAATAATCAAAATGATTTTTTTAAATTACACTTTGAAGTTCTGCTTTAAAATTAACTTTGAGTATATGTAAATGATAGATACTCAGAAAATTCATTTCAATAGAATATTAAAGTAGTATATTACTGTTGAATTATTTTAAAGCTCTGATATTAAAATGTCCATCATTTATAACCATTTTTTTAATACCTCTTTTATTTCAGGGATGGAGAAAGACACCATAGTCATAAAAGAAGAAAGCAAAAAATATAAATGAAGTACTTGTACATGTATTAATTATGCTTATGCCATGGTAACCAATATGCTGATATATTAATTGGAATTGCTTTGCATAGGAGAATGTTTTCATGATCTGTTTAGTGCTTATTATTTTCCAATAAATATGCTTCAAACGTTGAGTACACTATTAGGCCCTACAACTTTGTTTTCCTTATATTTTATTAGATGATTTGCTTCCTATAACTGATCTTGTTTTGTTCTTTTTGCTAATATTTGTATCTCAAAATTCTTTAATTAAAAAAGTCAATATTTATCATATGTAAATTAAATGTGAATACATTCTCATTGCAAAAAAACTACATCTTATAAATAAGGCTAACCCTTAGAATACCATCTGCAGTCCTGTCCTCACCCCAGCAGCGACTGCTGTTTACCACTACGCTAGTGAATTGTAGTAGGGACAAACAATGTAAATATTGAAGAGAAATGGCCTAATTAAAATATGATGTATATGGAGGATAGATTATTGTATTGGAGTTAAAGAATCTAGATCCATATTAACCTGGATTGGTCTCAAAAACATAATGCTCAGTGAAAATAGCAAGTTGTGGAAAGTTATATACAAATTATATATATGTACAAAACAATACTATGCATTTTCTATGGCTATATAATGTATGTAAGTCTATTTTTAAAGGTTCAGAAGAATCCATACCAAAGTTCTAACAGTGAGTAGGGGGTATAGATGAGAGATTAGAGGTGCAAATCAGGATTGGGAGGGTGGTCAAAGGGAACTTTAGCTTTATCTACAACACATTTTTTTTTAAAAAAAATAAGGTATTCATGTTTCATTTAATTTAAAATATACTGTCATGTTGTGTTTTATAAATCAACTGAATTGAGGTACTATTTGCATACATTTAATTGCACCCTTTTTAAGTGTGTATTTTATTGGGTTTTGACAGATTCATATCTCTGTGCAACCACCATCACAATCAAGATACAAATATTTTCATTACCCCCAAAATTCTCATACCCCTTTTCCCAATCAATTCCTCTACCCCTAGCCCTAGGCAGCCACAGATCTGCTTTTGGTTACCATTGATTAGATTTATCCTTTGTAGAATTCATGTAAATGGGATACTGCAGTATGTACTCTGCCTTCTTCCACACTACAGATTTTTGAGATTGATCCCTGTGCGTCAGTTGTCCCATTTTTTTTTTGTTACTGAGTAGTATGTTCTATTGTATGTCAGATCATTCAGGTGAGACTTCGGCGTGAAATGTTAAGCATCTGACATCTAAATAGCAATATTTTGAATATTGGAAACTCAGGTTAAAGATTTTGTTTCCAAGTAGAAATGAAATCTTATTGTTTTAATAAGTAGCTGACAGTGACAGAAAGATTGACTGGATTTGGATCAGATTGGCTGTTAGGCTTCAGGTATGGGAAACAGCTCTCAGATTTATAAATTGGAAATCACCAGGTTACTTGCCAATATATAGTCATATTGCTGCCATTCTACTTAATTTCTAAATATATAAAATCCACTTTTAAAAACTGTAAAAGCAAGGACTGGGGAGTGACTGATGAATCATGAAATTGCTGCTTTTATAGATCTAAACTACTTGAATCATCAGGAATTGTTTCATATTGTGTGAAAATTTATAATTTTGTTTTAAATTATGATTTATTTTACTAACTGGAAGAAACAAAAGAGTAAAATTGGCATATTTAGGTTTTTTGTAGAAGAAAGATATGAAAATTAGGAGTGGATTGGAGAAATTGGGGGAAAATAGAACAGTACGGAGAAAGGAAGAGATTGAAAACGTAACCGAAGTTCTTTAAAGCTCACATTTTATAGTATCACTGCTGCAAACTAATAAAATGTGGCATTGAATGAAAAGAGGCATTTGTTTGATCCTTGAATGAATTAATCTTACATACTTCCCTGTTTGTGTTTTGAACCTTTCGCTGGATATGAGCTACTTGAGAGCAGGGTTTGTACCTTCATCAGTGTGACCCCTGTGCCTGCAACCTCATAGCTGTTAATATGTAATTTCAAATTTTGACAAAAGCATTTTCACTGCCCTGCCACATAAAATCTAGTTTTTATTTCTAGAGTGCTGCTATGAATAATTACTATAGCTGCTGTCCATCTTGCCCATCCATTAAGGTGCCTTCTCACAAACATTTCTAATCTGCTGGCTGGAGTGCATTGGTATAGTCCGTAGCTCACTGCAACCTCAAACTCATAGGCTTAGGCGATCCTCTTGCCCTTTGTAGCTGGAACTATAGGTGCGCCACTGCACCTGGCTAATTTTTTGATTTTTTTTAGAGATGGAGTCTTGCTATGTTGCCTAGGCTGGTGTTGAACTCCTGGGCTCGGATGATCCTCCTGTCTTCAGCTTCCCAAAATGCTGGGAGCCACCAGGCATCAGGCGCGAGCTACCACACCTGTCTAAAAAGTATGTATTTTTAAATTTTTTTGTAGAGACAGGATCTCACTATGTTCCCCAGCCGGTCTCAAGCTCCTGGCCTCAGCCTCCTAAAGTGCTGGGATTACAAGTGTGAGCCACTGTGCCTGGTCACTTTTTAATTGCAATATGGACAAGTCAACTATCATGCGGAGCCCAGGGCACTGGTTATATTCAATAAGAAACTGAACTCAGCACTTAGAATTTTAAATTATATCAATGATCTTCAAGTATTTGCCACTTTTGAGTACAGCTAATTGGATAATCTCAAACCCTTTAGTGAAAATTCATTGTCAAATAGTAAATTTGAGATAAAATATTTTAAATGCATTGAGAAATATTTTCTAATTACCTGCGTCTGCTATAGTACAGATATCAATTCTATAAACCTGTTCATAGGTCTTCCCCCCCCCCGCCCCCATCTTCTGAGGACATTTTCTGTTTCTTTTTAGTGAGTTAATGAATGTCTAAGAGTTCTGGTGCGAAACTTTGTTGCATTCTGAGTATAAAAAAATAAAACCCACTTATATTGCTTGAGTTTGTTTACAAGACACTTACGTAGCTTGCTTTTTCATTTGCTATAATTGATCCTGCAGGTGTGTTAATTATAAACTAATGCTCTTTTAAACCACACTTATTTTATTACATTAGTGATTGTGCTGCCTGCTGTGGTCACAAATTTGGGAGGTTTTGGTGTTACAGAAAGTGCTCATAGCTTTTGTATATTTGGACTGGGACCAGTAATTTCTAGAGCTCCCTTCAGGACAGAAAAAATAAGATTTGCCAGATGTAAGGAACGCTGAGCCAGATTCATCTTTATTGAATAAGCCAAGTCACTTTCCCATTCTAAAAACAAGTAAGTCCACCTAAGAAAAAACAGGCTGCCTTAAAATAGAATATAAATTCCTAAACTAGTTTTTAGTCCTTCGTTTGAGTATTATAAAGCAGGGGGCACTTCCAGTTTACAATGTTGCTGCATACTCCATTGGGAGAATGGTAAATGAAGAAAGGCTGCAGGCTCCAGGGAGTCCTGCCTTAGGAGTTTCACATCTTGTGGCACCAGTGAAGGGATCTGGGTTTGAGTTACTTGAGTACTCTTTATGAGGCTAATTTCCCGTGAGAGTGGAGCTTTAGTAACCCGTGTTCCTCCAGCTGCAAGCCGTGACTCCTAGTCTAGAATGAGGAAGGTCATTAAGGGAGCGTCAGGAATACAGAGATGAAGCAGGAGCCTGGGCTTTGTTTGGTAATGCCGACACAATTAAAAAAAATAATGTAATAAATTCTTCTCATACTGACAGAATATCTGATCAAAGAGGGCAGTAAGATGAGTCAGGTACAATACAGGCTGTGTAACCCTGGGCCGACTCTTAGTCTCTCCATGCCTTCTCCATACTGTACACCCTCAGAGGATTGTCAGGCTTAATGTGATCTGGCCCATGCGGTGTCTGACATATGGCAGGTACTGAATGCCCACTGTTGCTGTGCTTTGTAACACAGATGTGTTCTTTCTACTCTGGCTCCTGTGTCTGGTTTTGCTTATGGACCAACCTGGATATCTTACTGTGCCCTCAGAGAATTCTCTCACACAATAGTATTAGCAAATCAGTGAAGACTTCAAAAAGAAGTCTGTATAGGAGATGCTTCATGTTACCTACCTCTAGGGCATATATATATATAGCATATATATATAGCTGGTACCAGCATATATATATAGCTGGTACACACATGAATCAACCAGTATTAAAATACTGAAATACTTCTAAACTTGCTGGTAAATAACTTGTTCAAAGCCCCACCTTCCCTTTCGTGCTTTGTCCTGGAAATTCTTGATCGTCTCCTAGACACCACCATGATCCAACAACAAAAAAATAAAATAAAAAAAAGAAAAGCCAGTGCCTGGAGCAGCTGGGGGCCTTGGAGCACCCTGTTCCAGGAATAAGGCTAACTGGTGGCTGTTCTGATTGATGACAGTGCAGTCAGCATCTCTCCTAAATAGTGATGCATATGAATGACATGGGACATACTCTGTTTCTCACTTTGCCCTATATACGGTGGGCCGTGTGTGCAAGGTGCTGTATTGTGTGGATACTAAGCATGGACATAGTTACACACACTTGAATCAGCCAAGGCTGGCTGTCGACAATGTAGCACAGATTTTGGAAGGGGGAAGTGGAATCATGTTGTAAGATTCTCATGCTGTACATGAAATGGTGTGTAACATTTTTTGCAGATAGATTATGATAAGTTGAGTGTATATTGTAAATTGAGTGTATATTGAAATAAAGCAGAGGTATGGCTAATAAGTTATAATGGAGAGGAAATGAGATTATTAGAAACAATCCAAAAGAAAACAGGAAAGAAGGAAAAGGGGAACAGAAGAACAGATAAGACAAATAGAAAACAAATGGCAAGATAGATTTAAACCCACCCATCTTAACCACACTGAATGTTAAATACAGATATTCTAAACACTCCAATGTAAAGGCAGACCCAGTTATATGATGTCTACAAGGAACCCACTTTAAGTATAAGGACACAAATAGGTTAAAAGTAAAAGGATAGGAAAAGGTATACTATGCTAATACTAATTGAAAGAAAGCTATATTACTATCAGACAAAGTAGACTTCAGAACAATGAATATTATCAGGGATAAAGGGGAACATTTTGAAATGACA